ATGACATCAAAGCACTGAGATTTATTGTCATGAATGAAAATGAACGTTATATAAGTTAACTGGTAATGTAACGTTAGTTAAAGAATTGGTGCCGGGAAGATACAAAGAAAAACTACCCTTTAATTTACTAGTTTATGAGTTGTTCTTTTCGTAAAGGCGTTTCTGTCTCTCAGAGCTGAACGTGTCAGTGAAACTTAAGATAGCAGCTAGCTAGCAGGCTAACGTCAGCCAGCTAGCAGGCTAACGTCAGCCAGCTAGCAGGCTAACGTCAGCCAGCTAGCAGGCTAACGTCAGCTAGCCCCTGAACGTCATGACCTCACAAGTACGAGCTATGACCTCAGCGAGTACTTACAGGTACTTGTACTTCACTTGAGTACTTCCGTTTTCGGCTGCTCTGTACTCTCACTACGTCCCAGCGGTATTTGTTGTACTTTTCTCTTCTTTTTTCAAAATAGGCCATTTAGTAAAATGTATTCTTTTGGACACTTTCATTCTGATACTTTTGTACTTTGTACTAGTTTAAAACCAAACTTATTCAGGACAGTATATTTATATTCCATTATTGGTATTTTGATTTGAGTACAACATGCAAGTACACATTTAAAGTAGAAAATAGAATTATGTTCACGTAACATCTAGACACAACAATTAGACATAAAAAAGTCACCGCACAGCAACATAAATAGTGGTAAGACCAGGAAGTTGAGACGAACTACTGCACCACCCACAATGCACCTCTTCATTCTGCAGCTCCCTAAACCAGCCTCACCTGGGTCGATGGACCCCTAAAAGTCTCTGTGTTGTTCCAGGTTTACTCGTGTGTGTTGATGTAGTGTTCGTGGAGCGCTGTGATGCCCCTGGAGGTCAAATGGCCGTTCCCACAATGCCCTGCTTTGGCGTGGAGGATCTCCAGCTCACTGATCATGGGGATGGTGGGCTCCTATTCCTACTTCTGGACTAGTAAGTTCTGTAACGGATCTTGCGATAAACTGGAGGAGTGAGTGGAGTACATTCTGTGTTCTACAAGTAGTTTTACTTTTATAACGCTCCCTCCCGACCTCCAGAGTACATGAACTACTTGACGGTCCACAACCACGAGGTTCTGTTGGACCTGATTGACCGGCGGCCCTCGGACACGCCCCTCATCACTCTGTCCAATCACCAGTCCTGCATGGACGACCCGCACATCTGGGGTAAGAGGCAGACGCACCTTCTGAAATCACATGGCAGAGCGGCGACATTACCCCGGTGTTTGCTGCAGGTGTGCTGAAGTTCCGGCAGCTGTGGACCTTCAACAAGATGCGCTGGTGAGTTTCTGTCCAGTAAACCTCGTGGTTTTTGTTCTGCTGGTTGATTTCCTCCCTCTGTGACCGCGCAGGACCCCGGCAGCGTCGGACATCTGCTTCACCAAAGAGCTGCACTCCAGGTTCTTCAGCCGGGGGAAGTGTGTCCCGGTCTGCAGAGGCGAGTCTCTTTCGCGTTATTTAAATCTCCCTCTGACTCGATCTCGCCGTCTGAAGTTGTGTTTTGTGGACCTGCAGGCGACGGCGTTTACCAGAAAGGCATGGACTTCATTGTGGAGAAGCTGAACAGAGGAGAATGGGTGCATATTTTTCCTGAAGGTATTCCAGTCCTCCTCCTCACACGGCAGCAGCTTCTGCAGCAGGTGGATTTAGTTTGGTGCTGTGGAAATAAACCTTGGTTGACTTATTCTCTGTTAGGTCACCCATTGGTTTGTTGATGTCTTGATGCCTCGAGTTTGGGCAATATAACCATCGTCATTCTTGCAAGACCTGTCAATCAGCGTGTAGCCCCGCCCTAAAGCGTCCCCTGCTTTATGGTCTGTTTGACTCTAAATGGACCATCATTTACTGAATGAACATCATCTGTATTGAAGAAGACTTGAAACTAGAGACTGAGACATAAACCCATGTTTACAACGTTTACTGAGGGAATAAATCCAGAGTGTCAGACGTGTTGCCCCCTGCTGGTCACTGCAGAGAATGCCGCTTGAACACATTGACCGCTGACTTCACTTTAAAGAACCCGAGGTGTCCTGTAAGACCTTCCTCTCTCCTTCCTCATGTAACAGGCAAAGTGAACATGACCGAGGAGTCCCTGCGGCTGAAGTGGGGTGAGTACACTTGCTTCTGCTCAACACGAGCATCGCAGAGTTGAGATGAACGTACAATGATTGTTTGTTGGGTTTCAGGCGTGGGCCGGCTGATAGCCGAGTGCTCCCTCAATCCCGTCATCCTGCCCCTGTGGCATGTGGGTGAGTACGGCGACGCGGTGGCGCGTTGCTGCTGTGTCGTCCCTCTGCTTTAAAGATTGAGAGAGAAAGAGGGAACGAAAAATGCCCTGTTTATGTTGGACTTGATCTTTTGTTATAGTGGAAGTAAAGCTGCTCGGCATGACGAGGCCTGTGGTAGAAACGCGTTCTTTATTTAAAGCATTCCATCAGTTCTGGGGGATCTGTTTGTATGTGGCGTTAAAGGATCTTTGTAAAGAGACTCGTCTTGTTATTATGGTATGGATGTCCTTGGAGTCGGTGTCTAAATAAGCGAATATTCCTACACTGCTCGTTAAGGTCTGAACGACGTTCTGCCCAACGTGACGCCCTACATTCCTCGGACCGGCAAGGTGGGAACCTCAAGAACCTCACGCCAGCTTCTCATGGGATCTGTCATTAATGCTTTAATTGAAAGGCTTTTGTTTCTTCTTTTGGTCCCTGCAGAGGATCACGGTCCTGGTGGGGAAACCGTTCAGCATGAAAGAGCTGGTTGAATCCCTCCGAGCAGAAAACAAGAGCCAGGTGAGACCAGATCCACCAAAGAGGTACCCGTTAGGTCACGTTAGGTACCCGTTAGGTCACGTTAGGTCACATGTCGTCACACAGTGACTCATCTAGAGACTCGAGCTGCTTCAGTTCAAATAAAGAGGTCCAGCTTTTATTTGACGTTTCATGTATAAACGGGAAAACCTTTTTGTGATAATAAAGCATCTTCTCTGGGGCACAAATTCTGTTCCTCAAATGTGAATTCCTTCTTAAGTGATTTCTTGAACGTTTGGTCTTTTGGTTATTGGATAACAAGCTGGACTCCAAATAGAATAAAATAACCGTAGGTTTCTATTTAAGTTTATTTAGTGACAAATGAATGTGAAATGAACAGACTTTCAGCTAAATACCAATGAATAAAGCCTGAGGACCCCACTGACTCCGCCCCCTCATCCTGCACCCCATCTTGCACTTGTTTATCTGCTGATGTTTATTTTATTGTTGTTTATAGAGTTTTCCTACTTGTTTGGAGTGTGTTAATAATGTGGAGAAAATGGCTTCATTCCTTCAAGGTGTTTTTGTTCAACCAGAAATCCCCAAAACCAACAATGTTAAAAGGAAACATGAGGAAAAGGAAGTTCTCTTATTTCAGAAGCAGAAACCAGCAAATATTTGGCTTTTATTTTGCTCCAAAAAATGAATAGAACTGCATCGTCAACTACGACAATAACTTTTGAGAAAGTTTGATCTAGTCGGCTCCACTGGTGTTCCAGAACTTCAAGAACCCGTCTCTAAACCTTTGCTTTCAGCTGGAGATGAGGAAGACCTTGACCGACTTCATCCAGGAGGAGTTCCGTAGCCTGAAGGCTCAGGCCGAGGCCCTCCACGGTCAGATCCAGACCACGTCCTGACTCCAGACGGCGTCCTGGGTCCAGACTGCATGCTGGTGGCAAAGCTCCAAGCCGATGATGATTTAGTTTCTCTTCCTCTTCTCTACTTACAAGCATGTTTTGCGGTTCTCATCAAACCGATGGCGTCGGCGGCGGACGAGTCCTCGCGGCACGACGTACGTTTGACCCTAACGAGCAGCGCCGACCCAGGAAGTAGTTTGTCCTTTTAATTTAGCCCGGTGGTAATCAAGGACGCGCACGTCGGAGCCGGAGTCGCTCAGCTGCATTTCATGTTATTTTACACCTTTTACCCGCCGTGTTCTCTCCCTCACAGCGAGGTTAAACCCACGTGATCTGCGCTTGCTGCTCCGTGGCGCCGCCTGTGGCGACAAGCGGAAACTGCAGCGGTGTCTTTTGGATCTCACCTGAGATGCAAACGGTACCTCGTTGGGCGAAATAGATTTAGCCTTTTAGAGCTGGATCAGTTTAACGCTCGTGGAGCAGCTGCTTTTATCAGAAATACAGCAAAAGAGAAACATCTGTTTACACTGCAGCCTAATAAACTCAGGAGGTTTTTAACAAAGAAATCAGTCGATAATCAGCCTTTTTTTCCCACCGTGCCATAAACCGTCTTGACTTCATGCTGCACACGGTGACATTAAAAAAACCTGTTCATAATGTTTCACAATAAAAGCCCTGTGTGTCGCCACATGAACACTTTAGAATTAGCAGAGCGATAAAAGTACAAACGGTAACGGTAATGCTGTATTGTTTCCTGTCAGGAAGTCTATTCAAAATGAAGCGATAGCTTTACGGAACCGTTTCTTCTTTCATCTCCTCGCCAGTGTGATTCCTCGCAGCCTTAACCCAACTGACAGGACGGGGGGGGGGCGGGGCTTTGTGTGATGTCACCCGGTCATTAATCAGGCTGATTACAATCGTCATTACTTGAGGATTAACAAAGCCAGGAGCGTTCTGCTGAATCTGGCGGCGCTCACGACAGTAAGCGTGCTGCTCGGTGCACAAACACATGGAGGGATTTTAGGTGCGTGACTTGTAACCTAAAGAAGGGAATCCGCACCCCACTGTCAACGTTTACAGCGGTTTGGCACATAAACATGCAGAATAAATGATTGTTCGGATGCTACTAATGGTTGATCAGCGACATGTTTTACCTCTTTTCTCCTACATCATCACCTCCAGATTGTGCGCCGCATGAAGTTTCCAACAATTTCTTTTCTCAGATGAAGTATTAAACCGTTAAGTTTTCTTTGGAGCTCAGAATGCCACAACGTTAAAGATGTACAGAGATCGCAGGCTTTCACAACGGGGGAAAGAATCCGTGGCTGTTTTACAAATACTGTGATTGACACTCTTTCCTACGCCAATAAATATTCTTTTCTAAATTTTAATTTTGTGTCGTGACGCTTAAGTCTCCAATAATGTTGTTGCCGCATGATTTTTAAAAATGTAGTTTAATAGTATTATATCCTTTTTGGAAATACTCATGTAAAGTACAGCAGAGTAGTTCTTGCAGTATCTACAGTACCTGCATAATAGTTAATAGTATAACGTATATTTACCTCTGAATTCTTGTGAAGAAGTACTTGATGTTGTTGACTTTTCTTGAGTAAAAATACATTCACATTAGCATCAAAATATACCTAAGGTAGATAACGGAGAACCGACACTGAGGAATATCTATAATCATGAATAATTATTTATGCAGTAATGAGTTCATCCCTTTATTGGTGCAGCTGATGAACGTGCAGCTCAACACATGACATCATAGCTTGATGACGTTTAGTTGGCGTTTTTAATTAATAGTTAAAAGTACGATTTTGGCTTCAAATCTAATGTCCTGTATTTAAAACTCACCTCAATAAAAGTACATAAACATTTTATATTGCAATTTGACGCTGCAGTGAGAACGGAGGCAGAGGAGCGTCTTCACGTGACGTCATCACGTGAGCGCCCTCCGACGTCAACCGCTGTCAGAGACTCTGAAAGATGGAGGCGACTGCGACGCTTCACCTCGGCGGCATCCTCGCGCGAATGGCCGTTTTCCTGCTCTTGGTGAACGCGTTGGGCTCGGTGTCCTGCGACGAGCAGGTGCCGCTCCTCCTGTGGACGAGTGACGGGTGAGTCCCGCGGCATTTTATCGGCTTTACCGTCTCTGAGAAGAGGTTCTAACGGTTACCTTTAAGCTAGCGCTAACGGCTAACGGCATCGTTTGCCGTCGTTAGCATTGACCGCTAACGTTGGATGCTAGAATCCAATTTAAATGCGGACTCAACTGTCGTTCAAAGGTTGTTTTTTTATAATAGTGAATATGTATTTCCCTGTTACCCTCGTGAATGGCAGGTGCAATATTCCTGGTCACGTGACTAGGCGGGTGACGTGACTGTTTGACGGGTGAGCAGTCACGTGATTGGGTTCATTCATTTAATCACAAATAACCGTTAAGTCATCCACACGAACCCGAGGCTGTTATTATATAGATATCTAAGAGGGACCTGAGTGGTAAGGACAGCATAAGATAGATAGATAGATAGATTGATACTTTATTGATCCCTCAAGAGGGAAATTTTGGTATCACAGCAGCATGTACAGGGAAGAAAATATAATAAAAAGATACACATTATATACAATATATTAAGAGAAATATTAAATTAAATAAACTGAAACAAAAGAATAACCTTCCAAAAGAGACAATAATAATAATTTGTAAAAGGAGAAGAGGAAGAAGAAAGAGCAGCAACATAACAGCAGTACAGGGTTATTATTGTCATTATTTAGCCAGGGATGATGTATTGTAGAGGGTTATTGCACTGGGCAGGAATGATCTCCTGTATCGGTCCTTGTGACGGCGGAGCTGAAGGAGTCTGTTGGAGAACGTGCTCCGCTGTCCCTGTAGCAGGTGGTCAGGATTATCCAATATGGATAACAGTTTCTTCAGTGACCTCCCCTCCAACACCTTTTCCAAGCTGTCCTGTTTGCAGCCAATGATGGAGCCGGCCTTCTTAACAAGTTTGTTAATTCTGTTGGTGTCAAGCAGCTAAATACAATTTAAAAAAAAAAGGAATAACTCAAATACAAATCCATAGATGTTCATGAAGCTAACATAAGAATGGATAAAAGATGGAGCAATTGAGAAGTGCTCAAGTTCTACTTTCACACAGTAGAAACATTGAAATTAGAAGTACATTAATACAAGTATATATGAAATATACATGAAATATAATTGAAATTAAAGGGGTGCTTCTGTGTATGCATGTGCAAATGTTTACGACTCAAACTACAAAACAATTTGAGCTACTTATACGTTATTGAAGTATTCTATGCTTTTTGTTCTAAATATGGACTTTTTACTGTACTACATTTCAAATGTTTTGAACTGTGTTTTTCAAAGATGATCAGATACTTGGTGTTGCATAAAAAATGACTTATTTTTACAATTGTATAAGATTCTTACATGTTTGGACAAATCGTTGCAGCTGCATGTGATTTGAATCCCCTCCAGGATCTCGTCACCGACTCAGCCTCCTCCTGCAGCCGGTCACATCATCGGGCAGCAGCAGCTCACCTCCTACCTGGAGAAGGCCCTGAATGAGGGGCCACGAAACGTGGTGCTTTTCCTCCAGGACAAGGTACACACACATGTTTACACTGCTTTACTTCAGCTGTACTGGATTTAATGCATCATTTGATGGATGGAACAAAAAGCAACTACCGTGTCATCCTGTCAACGATTGATTCATTTTAGTATTGGGGTTATTAACAATTCATCTTAATAATCTTAATATTTTTTGTTCTTAATAGTTTGAAACTAATCCTGTTGACATTCTAAATCGATATCTGAATCCTGCATAGAGGTTTTTTGCGTGTTTGTCCATCGTGGTGAAACGTTGTTTCAGGTAAAAATCAAGCTACAAATAATGAGTCTTATGATTGAAGAATTCTTTGTCTGAAATGATATTTGTGTGTTTTCTAGTTTCTTGGGGCACATTGTTTGTTTCTCTTCATCAGATGAGCATCGAGGACTTCACCATGTATGGAGGCGCTTTTGGAAACAAGCAGGACACGGCCTTCCCCAACCTGGAGGTCAGGAGGAATGAACTGCGTCCGTCACTTTAAATAGGTCGTCCACGTGATCGCGTAGATCAGAGTTTTTATTTGGTGCAGAGGAGGGAGGGGGGGGGGGACAAGGAGAAAAGGTGATGTCGTGATGTGACGAGTCTTGGCCAATCAGCGCTGAGATCTCTACAGCGTCTTCGTTTCCCTCCAACTTTTACCCAAATCAACACTTTCTTGCTAGATCTGCCGGCTTTCCAAACCCTCTCGGCAAAGTGTGTACCCTCTCATATGCAAATGAGGCGATGACGTCATTTAGTGGCGGCTCGATCGCAGCTCCTGCTAACCCGCGTGTCCACGTGTCCTCGGGCAGGACACAGCGTCGCTCCCGTGGCTGCGGTGTGAGCGTTGCTGATGTCATCAGGGGGCGAATGAAGGCATGAAACACTTTGAGTGGACTAGCAAAGCGCTGCACAAGTGCATTCCATGTAGCGTTCACCATAAGTCCACGGACCCATGAGCGATGTCATTAGGACCATGTTGAATTGAATTTTTGAATTTTATTTATATTCGAACATGTATAAAATGTTACAAAAAATAGAACAACAAAGAGCTAAGACACAAAAGAAAAAATAACTGTGGGAAGAAGCATGACACTTATTTGATGTCCCGCCCCTTTTCAACTGCTCTTCAGCCTGTCCCCACACAGAATACTACATAATACACCTACATACCACGCATACACAAAAACAAACATACACCACATGCATATCCCTGCAAACACACCTATAACATGTGTGTGTGTGTGTGTATATATTTATATACATACTTACACTAAGAATAATAACGTGTCCTCCTACAGTCTGTGGTCCGTCTTTTATCCGTCTCTGTTGGTTCTCGCCGTAGTAAACAGAAGACGAACTCATCGCTTCAGCAGCGAGCGTGTTCGGTTCATGTATAACATCTGTGCGGCCCGTCACATGTCACGGACCAGATGTTCTGTGCCTCTCGTTCCGCAGGGGGCTCTGATGTCCTCGTCCTCCCGTCTGGTCTTACCTGCCGTGTCCTGGCCCGCCTCCAATGCAGTGATTGGCCAGCTGCAGGACCAATTGGAGACCTCTCCCCTGTACATGGACCCTGAGACGCTGAGTCAGCTGAGACTCAACGCGTCCTCGCCCGCCCTGCTGGTGTTCAGGCTGCCGTACGGCCTCGGGTAGGAACGCTGGCCTGCACAGCCGGTCTCACGTTGGGACACGAAGACCTGGTGTCTCATGACCAGGCTTCAAGCAGTCGGCCCCCGAGACGGTTTCTCAATGTTTTGCATCTAAACTAAACGGTGTATTTGTGGGATGAAAGGAGGATAAGAGATGATTATGAGTTCAATCTGTTCGATATCATCCTTTGAATGGAATCAACTACACCAACAATGAATTATTTCACAATAACGTTGACGTGTAATGCAGAACCTCTGAAGGATGTCACATTAAATACTAACAGGGAGAACTGAGACAAAGCATGAAGGTCAGAGGCGTTTGGTCTCCAAGGTCTCAGATGCTGCTGTTTGAATCGAGCCTCTGAGAAGTTGCCGCTTTGTCAGGTGGAGAGTTTACTGTAAAACAGGAGACGGGTGGAGGTGCTGCTCCGCCTGAGCTCCACCCGTTAGTCCACCTCTTTATAATTCCTCTCGCTTCTTCTTTTCATCACGTCTCACAGAGCCGATCTGATGTCTGCAAAAGAGATTCTCAGTGGAAACGGTGAGTCTCATTTATTACGTCTTTCATTGTCTCTTCATCTGTAACTTCTTTGGTAGAAAAATGCAATATTTAAGATAAACATCTGTAAACATTGTACATTAAAAAACACAACATTTAAGATCCACGCATCTCTATTATTTTATGTAAATAGATATAAAGGTGCTAATAGAGCAAGCTATAATGGATACAATAAATGCACATCTGTACGTCGTGATGCAAAAAAACAGGAGGCCGTTGTTTTTCAGATGAGGTCATAGGTCAGGTGTTGAGCACCATGAGGGCCCGGGCCGTCCCGTACACGGCCATCTACACGGCGCTGCAGCCCTCCAGGGTGAGTCCACCACACCAGCGTCGAGCACCGCCATAACTCTCAGCTTGTCCCCTTTCCGATGGTCAGTAAACGCATCGTGTGAGACAGTGGCTCAAAGGGAAGTTTAGATGTTTTTTTTTTATTGAACAGTCATGTGACCATAAATCAGAGGAACTGAAGGATGGAATTGGTTCGATGAATAAAGTAGAGTTTGGTAACATAACACAACCTTTTCTAATCTGTAATGATTAATGCTAAGCTAAGTGCTATTCTGCACAAGAGACGTGCTGTCCTCTTCTGGTCCCGATGGTTCCAAATCCCAGACAGGAAACCCTCCTAACTGCTTCCTGTTCTCCACAGGAGGCGGCGTCCCTCTCCATGGAGGCCGGCCTCGGGGGAGGACGCTCCCTCCTGCAGGCCCGGGGGGGCTACCGGGAGAGGGAGAGGGAGCGCGAGAGGCAGCGCAGGATCAAGGAGAAGGCCGGCGTCTACGCACCTGTGGAGTTTAAGGTGGGGGGGCCCAACATTTACTACTTAGGTGTGTGTGTGTGTGTGTGTGTCACCGTTTCCTGCTTTGAATGAAAGTGAAGTCGTGTTTTAAGGTCATTCTGCTCGCGGGAGGATTAACGCGCTTTTGCTTTTGGTGGTTTCGTGGGATCTGAGAACGACACACAATAATGGCGGCTTCATTCCCCCCCCAGGAGGGGGAGGACACCTGCATCCTGCTGTGGGCCAAAGGCCTGTCGGTCAGCATCCTGCGGAGCGGCCGCTGGGAGGAGCACGACCTCACCCCGTCGACCTTCGGGGAGGGCGTCAGCCCACAGCTCCACGGGTCCAGCTGCGACAAAAGCAAATCCAAGTGGGTCGTCACCGAGGCGCCCCCCCCCTCCGATTTTTCAGATTTATTCCAACAACTACATTCGGCTTCTTTTACAACATCTCATTTGTGCTTCTATTTCAGATTGGTTCTTAATTATGAGAACGTCCTCGGCCACCGCAGCTTCAAACTGATGTGAGTGTTCATGGAAACGCGCACACACACACACACACACACACACACAGCTTGTGTCTCTCGTCCGTCTCTCGTCACGCGTGATGTTTGTTCCAGCTTTGCGATGAGCCAGCGTCGCTACCAGGTGTCGGCTCGCCGCTGGTTCACGCTGGACGCCGTGGAGCTGGAGTACGACCGCACCACGGCCCGGTTCAACGGCAGCAGGAAGGTTTACGCCCCCGCCGAGTACTCGTACCGCTGCGAGTCCGTCACCAACTTCCGCTGGCCCCAGCTGGTCCCGCGCTCCCTCAACGATCCAGCCAACCAGTGGAGGGTCTCCTTCCAGGACTTCCAGGTGAGAAGATCCATCAGGTCTCCACTTTTCATTCATAGATGGCCTCAAATTGGCAAGAGCTACTTAGCTTAGCTCAGCATAATCCACAGATCCAGGGCTTCAACGTGAGCGGCAGCGAGTTCTCCTACGCCAGCGACTGCGCCGGCTTCTTCTCCGCTGGCATCTGGATGGGTCTGATGACCAGCCTGCTGCTGGTGCTGGTGCTGACCTACGGCCTCCACATGATCATGCAGCTCCACACCATGGACCGCTTCGACGACCCCAAAGGGCCGGCCATCTCCGTGCCCCAGACCGAGTAACCACCCCCCCGGTGGTCTGTGGTTGGGCTTCAGTAGGGGATCAGTCATCAGTTTATACTTTAACGTGGTTGAACAACAGTTATCTTCTGACCTAAAACCGTCTTCAGCTTCACATTCAGCTCTAATTCCAACGAAGATGGAGGCTCAATAAACATTTGTAAAAGTGTCTCGTAGATTATCGTCTGGTTATCAGTGTAAACGTGTGAGGTTGATCTGTGGAGATGAAGAATCAGAAATGTGTTTTTTAGATTCTACTTCTTCAGAATAATCCGTGTTGTTAAAGAACATTGTTCCCCATGAAGGTTTTACAGTTGTACATAAAGGGACAAAGTTATGAAAATCCTATTATGAGAAGTTATTTATTGGTGAAACTTGTGTGTGTTTACGGTTGTTTGTGTGTAGAGTGAAATAAAGGGATCAGTTCTGTGTAGAGAATAAAACGAGGAGCACTAAACTACGACATTTAACATGTTTATGGTTTCCATGATTAATGCACTGAATCATGCTCAATGTCAATTATCCTTTTACTGTCTTTATTTATTTGGATGCTCTATAGTGAATATTGATGGTGTTGTGCTGCTGCTGTGACCCCAATAAAAACATCCGTGGAAATTAAATGATCTTTTTTCATTTATTTAGCCTTTCGCTTGAAAAAAAAAAAATTAGATCGAAAACGGTAAAAAAAAAGTTAAATAATATTTGGTCAATAAATGTTATTAATAATGTCTTGTGAGTGGCGCTGTATGACCTGGACACGCCTTAACGGAGCTTCACACCCACCTCTGTGTCCTGAATGGACTCATTAGCTGCAGCTACGGACCTCCTGATGCTGCTCCTGGGGGGGTGACAGGTGTGAAACAGCAGCTGGGTGCCGTTGTGTCCTCCAGATGTTGTCTAGGAAGATGATGTTAATTGACCCGCTGATGATGTCTGCCGTCAGCTGGGAAGGTCTGTGACATTGAGGAGGTGGGCGGAGCTTGTTTCTACATATTTAACACAGAATAACTGATGATAAACCCTCATTAACACCTTCAAACCAGAGACAACACACACACACAGACACACACACAGACAACCCACACACACACACAGACAACCACACCCACACACACACACAGACAACCACACACACCAGCGGTTGGGCTGATCATACTGCCTTGGCGGACCGCCTGGTGAATGTCACCTTGTACCAAGGTGTGTGTGTGTGTGTGTGTTAGGTGTGGGTGTGTGTGTGTTCGTACGTGTGTGTGTGTTGTGTGTGTGGTGTGTGTGTGTGCGTACGTGTTGTGTGCGCGTGCGTAGGTGTGTGTGTGTTGTTCTGGGGGAGGTTCGTCCACTTTGAGGCCAAAGATTTGAAGGTCAAAGCAAAGTCACCACTGACTGGAATGAAGCTTCTCATCATGACGCCTCTTCTACCTGCAGGTCCTTCTCCTTATATCGTCCCCTCATTGTCCTACCCAGTATGTCCTCCCCCAGCATGTCCTCCCCAGCATGTCTGCCCACAGAGGACTCGTTGTGTGTTAACCAGCAGAGGGCAGCACAGGGTCGTTGATGCCACCAGGACGGCGTCTCTCACCTTCCGTTCATCTACTCTGAAGAACTCCAGAAGGTCTCCAGCTTCCAGCAGGGGCCTCTGGGGGCTTTCATGTAGTCATGCTTCCTCGGAGCCTTAGTCCCCCCCCCCACCCCCAGCCCCACCCTACACCCACCACCACACCCCCACCTACACCCACACCCCCACCTACACCCACCCCCCACCTACACACCCACCTACGCCCCCACCTCCCCAGCCCCACCCCCCACCCCCACCACACCCCCACCCACACCTACACCTACGCCCCCACCTACACTTACACCCCCCTACCCTACGCAACCACCTACACTTACACCCACACCCCCACCTACACCTACACCCCCCACCCCCACCTACGCCCCCACCTACATTACACCTACACCCCCACCTACACCTACACCCACACCCCCACCCACACTTACACCCGCCCATGAGACGAGTACATTGTGTGAGTCGCCCGACTGAACAGCTGCAAAGTCAACCTCACCTGTGAGGCTGGTACCTCACATACCAGGGGAGACGAGCGTGAGGAGGGGGGAGGGTCTCAAGGTGTGTGTGCTCTCCCCCATTACTCTAGAGGAGGGTCACGTCCCTTCTCTAGAGGCCCCTCCCGAAATGGCGCACTCACACACAAACACACACTCACACACAGTTTGTGTGCCGCTATTAGAGCAAAGATACAACATTAGATCCAAAGTCCTTGGGGGGGGGGGCACCTTATGGAGACATTCGAACGTGCTGCAACATCTTAATCAAAGCCGTCAGGGTCTGAAGAACCCTTCGTAGACGCGTGTCGATATTTGTTTTTTACAATCACTTCGCCGCTAACTTCAGAACCTTGAGGCCATTTTTCAAAACTTCAAAAAGTTCCTTTGTTCATTGAACTGAAATCACCGGATCATTATGACTCAGTGTAACATCAAAGTACTGTTTCAAAATGCAATTCCTACATTACGGTTGACATGATGGTCCATTCAAATCATTACAATGATCTAACTATCGATTTATCAATGACCCTCAGTGGATACTGACCATGATCCATTTACACCAATTAGACAGAACATGAACCGATTACTACTTTATCTTTATCAGTGGATGTGATATTTGATCATCTGTCAGACATGTTTCTATCGTATCATTTTTTCACACCACGCTGACGCGCTTGTGATTACTCGTCCAATTCTACCAACACCAGGACGTGTGTCGGGCGCGACGGATTCACCGCCGATGTTTGGCTGATGAAAACATCCATCGTGACGTGGATGAGAAGCTGTGGTTGATGAGAATGTAGACGTGTGGTGATCAAACCTGTTTTCCCTCCCAGGTGAGTTTTGTTCATGTTTTGCAGCTAATTACTGTATTTTTGCTTTTATTCAAACAAACCTAATGGGATTTTATTGCATTTCATAACTGTCCAATGATTCCACTGTAACTGTTACTGTTACAACTGAAGAATGTTGTTTTGTATCTACAGTTTTGAAAAATGGCATCAAGGTTCTGAAAATAGCATCAAAGTGATTGTAAAATAACTGTAATGAGCTTCTGGAGAAGATCTAAATTGGTGCTTTTGTTCATTTTGGAGAAAGTGACTTTTTACGGATCCGTCTAATGACTCAATTAGAACTGGAAGTCTCTCTGCTCATCGGGGGGGGGGCATTGTCACACTGGGGGGGGGGCATTGTCTTAATGTCACGCTGCCTCCCTCCCCCCTCTGTGTGTGCGTGTGTGTGAATCCCGCTAATGGAAAGTTTACGGGTACCTCCACTCTCAGGATGCTTCCTACTTCCCATAGCGGAAACGTGCTAACGCTAGTTGATGCTAACGTAAATCTCCACCTCTCCAGGGGACGAGTGTCACTTCTACATGACGTTTAACCACGGCGAGCTCCAGACCGTGGAGGAAGAACATCTGGAGCCTTGGGTGAGCAGAACCCAAACAGCTGGATCACGCTACACTGTGATTGGCCGGTCGACGTCTCCAAGGGCGGGACTTAAGTGTCTTTTATGTGTAGGCTAACATGACTAAGCTGTTTGGAACTATTTCTTCTTCCCTATTGCTCCCTGTGACGACGTTGTAATTATTTCGCTTATATTCCAGAGAAATAATGTCCGAACGCTTGTTGTAATAAACTATTAAATAACAATTAAATAAAAGCTCTTCTCTGAAAGCGACGCCCGTGGGACTGTTCACACAACATCTTCGGCGAAACTTCGTCAGCACGGTAAACACTATGCATGATTAGATATATATCGACACACCATTACTCCCCGTGCGGGATGTCTCGTCAAAGTGGCAACGGTCTCATGTGCTTCGGGGATCGCACGGCGGACCAACAATCCATCATTGGCTCTGTGGGGACACACGGCGACAGTGGTGCTCACACACTCTCACACACACACACACACACACACACACACACACACACACACACACACATACACACACACACACACACACACACATACACTTGCACAAGAATCTCTTAGTGTTTCGGTGGATTAATGTGAAGCAGAAAATCAAAATAATCTCTATAAAATCCATCTGTAGTGGAGTAGAAGCTTATCTTTATCTTTTTATAATGTCCATCAGCCCGAAACCAAAGTCTGTACATAAGAATAAACGTGGTAAATGGACCATAATTCGACAAATCGTGGCCCCTTTATAGTCATGCATCATGCTGTATTGAAGACTAGAGACTGAGACCATAAACTCACTTCCTGAGGGAATAAAGAGTCACTTTCTCATAGACGTCTATGGGAGCAGAGGAGTTGCCCCCTGCTGGTCACTACAGAGAAGTAGAGTCATTTCCTCATAGACGTCTATGGGAGCAGAGGAGTCGCCCCCTGCTGGTCACTACAGAGAAGTAGAGTCATTTCCTCATAGACGTCTATGGGAGCAGAGGAGTCGCCCCCTGCTGGTCACTACAGAGAAGTAGAGTCATTTCCTCATAGACGTCTATGGGAGCAGAGGAGTCGCCCCCTGCTGGTCACTACAGAGAAGTAGAGTCATTTCCTCATAGACGTCTATGGGAGCAGAGGAGTCGCCCCCTGCTGGTCACTACAGAGAAGTAGAGTCATTTCCTCATAGACGTCTATGGGAGCAGAGGAGTCGCCCCCTGCTGGTCACTACAGAGAAGTAGAGTCATTTCCTCATAGACGTCTATGGGAGCAGAGGAGTCGCCCCCTGCTGGTCACTGCAGAGAAGTAGAGTCATTTCCTCATAGACGTCTATGGGAGCAGAGGAGTCGCCCCCTGCTGGTCACTGCAGAGAAGTAGAGTCATTTCCTCATAGACGTCTATGGGAGCAGAGGAGTCGCCCCCTGCTGGTCACTACAGAGAAGTAGAGTCATTTCCTCATAGACGTCTATGGGAGCAGAGGAGTCGCCCCCTGCTGGTCACTACAGAGAAGTAGAGTCATTTCCTCATAGACGTCTATGGGAGCAGAGGAGTCGGCCCCTGCTGGTCACTGCACAGAATGCAGCTTTAACACACAAAGCCTTTAACTGCGCTTTAAAGAACTGGAGGTTGCCGTCTGCTCTGATACACATAGTTGAGTTTGTGTCTTTCTGTTTGGACCGACGGCTTGATGCACAGTGTGTTGGTGTGTGTGTGCGCTGCTGTCGAACACGCCGATCTGTGTGTAGCTACGTGTCGGATATGAAGCTGCGTTGTTGACTTATTCATGCCTCCTCTGACACGGCGGCCTGTGAGAGAAGCCCGCGGTGTAAGAAAAAACACAAGAACAGGCGTAAATAATGAAGGGCTGCCACACAAGACACACACACACACACACACACACACACACACACACATTGCACCAAAGAAAAGCCACCGAAAAGGAACAAACTGGATGTAATCAGTTTATTTGCAGTAAACACGTTCATGATTTGATGTATTTTATTTCCAGTCATTCCACATTTGGGGAGAAGTTCTTTCTTGCTGATAGTTATAGATTGAAGGATTGATACCAGCAGCAAGCAGCTGGTTAGCTTAGCATTGACACACAAGGGGAAAACAGCTGGGCTGACAAACATAAATGCATCTAGCAACAACTCCAACCCCAGAACGTCTCTAGGAAGAGAAGGAACGTCTCTACGAAGTAAATGAACACCATTTGGACATTTACATTCACAGCTGAAGCTTCTGGTCACTTTAGCGCCTCGGCTCCCATCACCATTCACCAAAATGTGAAACCAACGTGCTGCTTTGGGGGGAAAAGTTTGACGTCTGACGCAATGATTTTCCTTCAAAGTACAAGACGTGTCCTCACAAGTCCGTCGGGTCCTGCAGGAGTCGGCTGCTGCATTGACCTCTGCAGGAAGCTCTGGTGGACGTGGAGAAGGGAGCTCATTGCTACGTTCATGGAATCAAATCAATCCAGATCACAAACCTTGTTAATTATAATGCACCAAACGAAGCTTAATTAAACGTTATTGAACTGTCAACAAATACAAACATAACTTATAGAATATTTAATAATCTCATCGCTTTGTTGGTCAATCAACGTTCTGTGGTTTACAAAACAACTTACAAAACTTTAATAACTCAAACTAAACTAATAACCAAAATACCCACTGAACTCACAAACACAACCCTTTCTTGCAGAATATTTTATTTTATTTTATTTTACGTCGACACATGGCACAAAGCCATGACATGATTAATAACAACAAACAACAACGTAAACCAATAGGCAGCATCTGGTAGAGGGCGCCAGGTAATCAATCACCCCCCAACACCAGATTAAGAAGAGACGTTTTCCATCTGCATGGGAGAACTTATTTCTCAAGAGATACGCAGCAATTAATTCAGAGAGCCACGTTCCAACCGAGGGAGACTTCAGTAACGTTACGGTAGGAACAACCTCCACTTCCAGTAAACGTCCATGAACACTGGTAGGGCTGTCAATGGCTCACGTGCAACGACGTTCCTCTAGTTCCTAATGGACTTTCTTCACTTCCTAATTATGTTCCTTCACTTCCTACTGATGTTCCTTCACTCCTTAATGACGTTCCTTTACTTCCTATTGATGTTCCTTCACTTCCTACTGATGTTTCTTCACTTCCTACCGATGTTCCTTCCCTCCTTGATGACGTTCCTTTACTTCCTATTGATGTTCCTTCACTTCCTACTGATGTTCCTTCACTCCTTAATGACGTTCCTTTACTTCCTATTGATGTTCCTTCACTTCCTACTGATGTTCCTTCACTCCTTAATGACGTTCCTTTACTTCCTATTGATGTTCCTTCACTTCCTACTGATGTTTCTTCACTTCCTACCGATGTTCCTTCCCTCCTTGATGACGTTCCTTTACTTCCTATTGATGTTCCTTCACTTCCTACTGATGTTTCTTCACTTCCTACCGATGTTCCTTCCCTCCTTGATGACGTTCCTTTACTTCCTATTGATGTTCCTTCACTTCCTACTGATGTTCC